AACGTTGCTGGGGGAGATATTAAGTGAAAATACTGAAGTAACGTCGAATACGACCGAGCGTGACGCGCTTCAGAACGGGAACCCCGAGCTCGCAGCACAACCAAGTTACAGCTGGTTAAACCAGTAGACTTGGGGTTGTAGACGTTTATTGAGGTACCGTGACAGAGAGACAAGACCGGTACCGGCTAACGAACGTTTGCGTTAAAGCACAAAGGCGAGAGAACCAACGAGCGCGATATCGAACAAACCAGAGCGAAAAGTGAAAGCTCCACTCGCGGAAGGATACAGCAGTTTTCAGTCGTCTAAAACAAACTTCACGTGGCTTTGGTACTGAAGTAAAAAAGTGAACGTACATTCAGATTGTAGATAAAAAATGGTGTCCGGAGAATGTCTACAATTGTCCGGCTTTAAACCATACAATCGACCGCGCTACAATGCTATTTATACCAAGAACTGTCTATATTTCGAGTATTTTGAAAATCTGTTTCAATAATTCAAACTCCTTTTGGCACTTTTTCTTGTTGCCAATCGTCCATACCCAGGTGGCGGTCACTGATTGGTCCATTCTGTAAATTTCCTCATTCTTTGCATCAATTCTTAAGGTCTGCGTGCGGAGACCAGAACAGTATTTAAGCAAAGGACTTTTCCACCGTAAATTCGACTTGCTTTCTGTGTGTCAAGTACACGTTCGCTGTGCATCATTTGTGGTCTTGCTTACGTAGTACCTGGAAGAAGGCTACTAGTGCTCATGGCGTCCAATCTAAGCTGTGATAGTACTCGTGGGGCTAGACGACTAGTGTGGCCGTTGAAGTATGTGCTCCGTAGTGTTCGGACCTACTTCATGTCTCTGTGACATAGTGCACGTCGTCCGTGAGTGTCCAATCTTTGTTTTGTCGTTCATTATCAATAGGGAGTGTCTGTGCCACTCCGGGCACATTGTGTCTCACGGCGGTCTGTTTCAGTGTACATTGTCTTGCCGTGTGCTATCTTGTGTTACCTTGTGTGTTATCGTGTGAATCTTTGTGATATCTTGTTGTCTGTTGCATTCTGATTAATCGGGAACGACACAACAATTAGCGGCGTAATTATCGGCGGAAGAACTGACGTCATTCCTGCAACAACAGCAGTCGCAGTTCGAAGCTGTGCTACAGTCGTTCAGTCCTTGGTCACCGAACGCTTCCAGTTACAAACAGGCAACGCCAGTAGAGGTGATTGCGGTGAGCATCATCAAATTAATCTACGATCCAGACTCTGGCATCAAGTTCAACTAGCGGTTCATCGGGTGGGAAGACATTCTGCGAGTTGAATTCGTTAATGAGGCAGACGATTGGAAGGTCCGATGAGGCCAAAGAACACGAGAGGTGTAACTGCCAAATAGATCAACGAGCGATGTGTAGCCGAAATTGGATCCCAAAACGT